GAGATAGAAGCATCCATGTGAGACTGATACATCAGATACGTCCATCGGCTGCCCCCTGCCCGCCCCTGCCGGGGACTGAGCCCACAACCCGGGTATGTGCCCTCAGGCCCATGGGAATTGAACCAGCAACCTTGCGGTGCTTGGGAGGGTGCCCAGCCAACTGAGCCACACCCGCCAGGGCAACACTGGTTCTTTTACTCAGGGTAATGCCTTAGCCATTCATCTGTATTGTTGTGTGTATCAATAATTCTTTTATTGTGCCCAGCCGGGCGTGGCTCAGTGGTTGAGCATCGACCTAGGATCCTGGAAATCGGGCTTCAATTCCCAGTCAGGGCACATGCCCGGGTTGCAGGCTAGGCAGCTGATCAATGACTCTCTCATCACTGATACCTCTCTCTCTCTCCCCCTCCTTTCCTCTCTCTGAAATCAATAAAGATATGTTTAAAAAAAAAATTCTTTATTGCTAAGTAATCCATTGTATGGATGTACCATAATGCAGCCACCCTTGAAGAATATTTGTATTATTTCTAGTTTTTGGTGATCATGAATAGAGCTGCATTTTGCTTTTTACTGTTATTTTTATTTTGAGGGCACATATATTAAAGCTGGGGACAGTGGAACAAGGAAGGGCTTACGTTAGAAGGAGCAGCAGGAGAGGGACTAGGCAGGGCTGCTTTGGCTCCCTAGAAATGTTATAGGAAAGAAATGAACTTAGGCAGGCCTGCTTTGGCTCACTGGAAAGTTGGATAACAGGGGACCTTAGAAACAGGTTCAGGGGGTTATACTGGAAAGAGCTGTGGCTGCCCATTGCTCTCCTGGTTACAAGCCTTGTGGGGACCCTTAGAGTTTAGGAGTTACTCACCTGAGAGGGAAGAAAGGCGCGGGTGTGCTCCTGGGAGGGAGAGTGTGCCACTTTTTACTGTTTTTACTTTTAATTTACCTATACTACTATATTTAAAGTAAGTTCCTGGTAGATAGTATTTAGTTGTGTCTTGTTTTTTAATCTATTTGGACAGTCTCTGTCTTTTACTTGGTGTGTTTAGACGATTTACATTTAATGTAATTATTGATATGGTTAGATTTAGGTCTGCTATTTTTTTATTGGTTTCTGTTTATCATTTTTTGTTCCTCTGTTTCTCTTTTCCTTCCTTTTAGATTATTTGAATATATTTTAGTCTTCCCTTTTATTTTTTCATTTTTATTTATTTTTTTAAATATGTCTTTATTGATTTCAGAGAGAGGAAGGGAGAGGGGGAGAGAGAGAGAAAAACATCAGTGATGAGAGAGTCATTGATTGGCTGCCTCCTGCACGCCCCCGGCTGGGGATTGAGCCCACGACCTGGGCATGTGCCCTGACCGGGAATCGAACCTCTTTGTCCTGGATCCTAGGTTGATGCTCAACTGCTGAGCCATGCCTGTCCAGGCTGTCTTTTATTTTTTTATTGATTGATTTGAGAGAGAGAGAGAAACCGATTTTGTTCCACTTATTTATACATTCCTCGGTTGATTCTTGTTTGTGCCCTGGCCGGGGATAGAACCCGCAATCTTGGCGTATCAGGATGACACTTAACCAACTGAGCTACTGTGCCAGGGCTTAGGATTCTTTTTTAATACTGAGTTTTTTACTCTATTTATTTGTATAGTTTTTTAAGTGATTGCACTAGGGATTATAATGGATATACCTAACTTTTTACAATCTACTTAGAATTAATATTTTACCACTTTAAGAGGAAGGTAGAAGCCTTATCACTACATAGGCCCCTTTTACCTCCTTGCTTTATTTTGTAGTTGTCATAGTGATTAATTTTCACACATTGAAAACCCCATCAAACAATGTTAAAATTTTTCAACCATCATTTTTAAAGATATCTCAAGAGAAAAACAGTATTTTTTTCTCCCAGTACTCCCAGATTACTTCTTAATTTTATAGGTAAGATAGATGAAGCTCCTGAGATGTTTGGTGACTTGCCCAAACTCCCAGTGGTAAGTAGTAGCTAAATCTAGAGCCAAGATCTTCAAACATTTGAGCCAGCATTTCTGCATTTCTTCCTCTTTCAGTTGATTGCATAAATGAGATATTTTCTATTACTTTTGTTACACTCAATTCATAATTGTCCTTATGGCTGCTAGTAGAAAAAGTATTCAGATTATTCTTGACTTTAGGCTTGGCAGGAAGTATTAAAATTCCAGTTCATTGCTTTCACCCACAAGATGCTGATAATGCAACTGTGCCAATTGTATTTTGTTTCTTCCTGTCTACCCAACTGAGAGACTTTGGGATTGATTTAGTTCTGTTTCATCTTGCAGATGTTCCTGGAATTGAAAATATTTAAAAAAACTATTTAGCTCTTTATCTTTTGTTTTGACTTTGAAGTTTGATGTTCATCGATTTATTGACCAGGCATAGGGTTTTTGCCTTATTTTGTTCATTCATTCGTTCGTACAACAACCTTTTGTGTGTTTACTCTATGTAAGGTATCATGATAATTATATAAAAAGATTAGTATGCTCTTAATAGTTAATATCTCCTGGGAGGAAATATTTTATACAGTAGCCCCCTGCCCCCCCCAGTGGTTTTGCTTTCCATAGTTTCACTTTCCATGGTTTCAGTTATCAGTTGTCAACCATTGTCCAAAAATAGTAAATGAAAAATTCTAGAAATAAACAATTCATAAGTTTTAAGTTGCCCGCCACGGTTCTGAGTAGTGTGATGAAATCTGATGCAGTGTGGTTCCCTCCCTCCCCCATCCAGCCGGCCC